GAACTTATATATTTTATTACGTATAAAATTACTTACAAATGAAATGTGATGCCATCCATATTATCAGAACGTCTGTCTGAGTAACTTTGACATAGTAAAACACAAAACTTCATCCTTTTCTTGTTAAAAACGCAAAAAAACATTTATAATGCGAGTCTCGTTAAGTGTGCACCTGACGAACGCTGAAAGCATACTGACTTAGGCCCCGCCCACAATGATGACGTCAGGACCTAGTTGAAAATCACAGTGCACAGTTGCTTAGGCCAGCTCCTCTTTGTTTTTCCTCCGTGCATACAACGCATTGAAGACATTATTAGTGCTACTGTTTCCCTACTACTGATTAAAACCAACGTTATTATGGAGCGGCGACGTCATTTAAGCAGGGAAGAAATGCTCAGAGCCGTGGGAATGATAGAAGCTGGTTCCCGGCAACGTACTGTGGCTTTAGCTCTGAATACAAGTCAGAGTGTTATCAGTCGACTTTGGACACGATACCGAAGCACTGGTACCGTGGCTGAGCGCCATGGAGGACGGTATCGCTGCACCACACGGAGACAAGACCGATACATTCAAATCTTAACTCGAAGAGCTCCAACAATAACCGCCATGATGTTAGCCGTGAGGCTTCGTCACTCTTCAGGGAACTTAATTAGCGACCAAACAGTCAGAAACCGCTTGCATGAAGTGAACCTTCATTCCCGAAGACCGCTACGGGTACCACCTATAGCAATGCACAATCGTAGGATTCGATATCAATGGGCTCTTGAACACAGAAATTGGGCAGAAGAACAATGGCGTTTCGTGTGCTTTTCTGATGAGTCTCGTTTTGGTATGAGACCGGATACAAGACGTATACGACACTGGAGAACCCCTGGACGCCAACAGCGATTAAAATCCTGCCAGGAAGTCCATCCTTATAGTGGTGGAACCATCATGGTATGGGCGGGTATTTGGATCGGCGGAAGAACTGAGTTGATTTGGATCAGAGGCAACCTCAACGCTCAAATTTATGCTGAGACGATTGTATCAGACGTCATCGTTCTTCTACAAGTGCAAATTGGTCCCTTATTTCAGTTAATGCATGATAATGCACGACCGCACACCGCAAGAGTTGTAAGACAGACTCTCGCCGCAGCTAACATCAATGTCCTGCCCTGGCCTGCTCAGTCGCCAGACTTGAACCCGATTGAGCATGCATGGAATATGCTACAGAGAAGAGCTCTGCCGAATATGGAGGGTATCCAGTCGCAAGAAGACCTTTTTTTGTTGTTGCAACGAACATGGGCGGCCATTCCACAGCGTGATTTGGATGAACTCATTTTGAGTATGCCAAACCGATGTTCTTGTGTTGTTAGTGTTCGCGGTAGAAATACGGATTATTAATTGTTTAAGTTACCCAATAAAATTTAGAGAAAACTGTTATTTCAGTCTTTTTTTCGAACTTTTGTGTTAGTGATTCAAATGTCAAAAATCCCTTTATTAGGAAAATGGCAAATTTCTTTATTAATGCAAAGGTGACTTGGTTTATCGTTACTGTGACAAACGAAAACACTTTATTTGATGAATCCTTAAAGAAAATTTTAATTAATATCAATCAGGAGAAAAGTTATTGCAAAAATATATGTTGATCCCTAGACACTTTTGATGTGTGTATATCTAACTATAATTTTTACGTACAGTAAAGGCAGAAACAGAATTTTAAAACTGACGCTTTACGACGTGTGTTAAAGGCGGAAACATATTATTGAAACGCGACGCAAGTACGCGACTCCACATCATCATAGAAAATAGAAGATTTGATTGTACACGCCTCGCGTGACGCCGCCGATACGCGTCGCGTTTCAAGTCTGTTTCTGCCTTAATCCTCATTTTTACCACTCAATTCATTCAGAAAAGAAAGAAGCAGAAATGCCACAAGATCCTAGTCGCACGCGTCGATACGGCATATTACATTGACAATACCACGATGCCGTGATATTATTGACATAAAACATATGCTTCATCATCATCATATCGAGCCGTTACCGCCAAATTATCGTAAGCGACACTTTTGTCGAAATGCGTTTTTTGTGGAAACTAATATTTTAAACCGAAACGGACCCATCTCTGTTGATATTTCCCTCCAAAAGAACACCGTTATAATATGACGGAAGGAAGGTTGGAGGGAAATATCAACAGAGATGGGTCCGTTACGGTTTAAAATATTAGTTTCCACAAAAAACGCATTTCGACAAAAGTGTCGCTTACGATAATTTGGCGGTAACGGCTCGATATTATGTCGCCACAGTCGTATGACGCCAACTGCTGAGAATATTTGCTATATTTTATTAAAAAAAACATTATACAATCATCATGTAATGACATAATGGTGTCGATTCTGACATTACACACACATGACACCTAAACTTAAATTTGACAATAGTGTAACCTTGTCATTTTCTATCCAGAATGAAAAGGACAGACTGGTGTTAAATTTAGTTTTAGCGTAGAGAATCATGTCAGAATAGACACCAACGCCCAGTAAAAAAATACTACAAAAATTCCACTCGGTTTAGGGCGCCTCCGACTCCTCCCACACAGGCCACAAACACCAACACTACACAGCTAGCATACTTGCACACTAGCTTAGCATTAGGCAGACACCGCACCCGTAGGAGAAGAGTGCGAAGACCCGGTCTACACACGATACGCTATACCAGCTACAGGTACGTACCTGGGCGTTTTTCCCCGCCCCCCACGACAACGGCTAACTAGAGCCGAGGTCAGAGTCTCAGAGACGCCCTCTAGTTGAGCCGACCCCCTCAGGTTCGATCGGTCTATAGGCTCCAGACGGAGAGGAGACTCCCCTTAGGATCTCGACCCCCGTGGGGAGATGCCACCCACCTGGAATACCTCTAGAGGCACTCTCCAATTCTTAGCTTGAGGTCCCCTTAGGATCTCGCCGTCCCCAAACCCGGTGATGCTGTAAAGGTAATCTGTGACCAACAGCATACACACTCAAAAAAAATAGCTCAGTTTAGGTTTCTGACGGAATTTGAACCCGCATTTTCCACTATACGGTGTCCGTGATGTTAGCGTACCCATGATCAATATACGGTTTTTCGTTATGCCATTAAATACTGCGTAAATAGTGCCAAATTAGTGTAAAAATAAAAAAAATAGTGCCTCTTTAATTTAAGAAATAAAGACCATTTTTACTGTGTACGCTACCATGACGTCAAGCTAGCGTACCCATGGCCGACCCCAAGAACGGCATATATTTAAGCAACAAAATTGACACACAAAAATAGTTCGCAAATAGTGCCCTGGCTTTACAAAATTTCATAATCAGTACTCTTAAAGGACCAAAGATATTGAACTAAACATTCTTAGCTGGCAAACAAACCTGGCGTACCCATAATAGTTCTCATAGAAAATTAACTTTTCTTGTTATCAATTCTATATGTATAAATAGTGTGTCAAATAGTGCCTCTAACAGTAAAAGTATTTTATGTTAATTCGCAGTAAAACAATATAAAAAAAGCAAATAAATTATTTTTATATATGAAGTACAGTCATGTACAGAAGTGATAATATTTTCGTAGTATAGTAGTTAAGTAAGGTACTTAGTAGGTAGGTAGGTAGGTTGAAATTCTTATATGTATTTATGATTGGTTAATTCGAATTGAAATATAATATCTTTTTATAAAAAGTACCTATTTATTTTAGTAAAAATACATATATAGATAATCTCTTAGTGCATAAATTAATTTTGTGTGTAACTGTACTACAATACATTTGTTCCTAGAATTTAACACCCTCTTTATGTATTGTTGTGATGCGGATTCACATAAAATACTTTTACTGTTAGAGGCACTATTTGACACACTATTTATACATATAGAATTGATAACGAGAAAAGTTCATTTTCTATGAGAATTATTATGGGTACGCCAGGTTGACGCCAGCTAAGAATGTTTAGTTCAATATCTTTGGTCCTTTAAGAGTATTGATTATGAAATTTTGTAAAGCCAGGGCACTATTTGCGAACTATTTTTGTGTGTCAATTTCGTTGCTTAAATATATGCCGTTCTTGGGGTCGGCCATGGGTACGCTAGCTTGACGTCATGGTAGCGTACACAGTAAAAATGGTATTTATTTCTTAAATTAAAGAGGCACTATTTTTATTATTTTTACACTAATTTGGCACTATTTAAGCACTATTTAATGGCATAACAAAAAACCCGTATATTGATCGTGGGTACGCTAGCATCACGGACACACTATACGTGCGGAACCATCCTGTCTGAAACCTGGGCAGATGAAAATAGCGGTTTCGAGTCCCGTCTGCTACCTGGAAACACTACCCAATTTCCGATGGAGATGAAATTTTGCACGCAAATAAGGAGCTGGAAGGTGGCCCTAAGGCCACCGTCATTGCGTCCGGGGGTTGCGTCATTTAATGACAGAATTCCTAAGAATTCTGTCATTAAATGACGCGACCCCGTAATTAAATTTTAATACGTTATGACGAGAAGGTACTTTGTCTTACGATGGTGCTCAGGGTCCGATGATGGACCTGGAATGTGGCCGTAGAAACTCTGTATTAAAACGACTTAACCGCATCGAGTTTGGGGTCGGTTGGATTTGCCTTATTATTTTATTTCTAGATGGTATTCAGGGTCTGATGATAGAGCTGGATGGTGGTCATAGAAAGTCCGAAATTAACATCGAGTTTGGACTTTTTTGTGACGACCTACGCAGTAGAATGGTATGAATACCGATTTTCAAAGATGTACCCTCTTTTGTGGTCTGGGGTTCGAATTCTAATAGGGGCAAATGTTTGCATGATTAGCACACAAATGTGCCCAAGTCAATTTACAAAAAATATTTTAATTAGTTCTCAAGTCATCGTAGTATAAAAACAAGTAGACTCATCGCACTCAAAAAGCGTCGGGAAAAAAATACGCACACGCGTCTATTATGCGTAATTTTCTAACAGATGTGTTTTGACCGAAAACTGAATAAAAGGCGCAGAAAGTGGTGTACATTGTTTTAATCACAATTTTCAAAACTGTACATGGTGTTTATACATTTGGCATTGATAACTTGTCTAATGAATACATTTGAAGTTCTAAATAAAAATTAACTTTTACCCCAGAACGTGGAATCGTTGCAAGGTTTATTATAACATTTCAACTTTTGGTATACCATAGAGGTTCTTTTAGGCACCGATTTTACATTTCTCATAATTGGTTCGCCAAATTCTTAACTACATAATACATTTTAAGACAACGCAAATATGGACTGCACAGTATGTACTCGTCATGTCAGATCTTACATTAAAAGACAACGCAAATATGAACTGTACATCATGTACTCGTCATGTCAGATCTCAAGACCCGATTAGATAGTGTTTCATATTAATACTTCATTGATCATTATATTTTGCAAATTTAAGAAATAATCAAACATTTTATGTCTGTGTTGGCGGAGCGTATAATATGTTACGACTAGTATTAGTACCCACACCCGAAGCGTCGGGGACATATTTCCGTAAACTACAACATCGAATTCCTGAAGATTACACTTTAACTATTACTACAGAGCGGTCGCATGCGCAACGAATGTCATACAGCAAATCAACGTGTTCACTCGCAAGCGATCGATACTGGCATATTACGTTTGTTCAAAATGCCGCCGCTCTCGCTCGATCCTAGGCGGCGCGGCGGCGCGCCGTACAGACGATTAACATAATCTAATACCAATATTATTATTGTTATAATAAATATTTTCAGTCTTTGGTTCCATTCCAGTTCATTGCATAGTGTAAATGCGTCGTTCCGGCGACACAGAGCCGAGGGCGGCCCGCTACCTATAGACTAGCGTTCGTTTTATTAATTTACCCATTATACAAACTTATTGCACTTGAAATTTCCATAATCACAGAAGGTCGGGCGTGGGCGGCCTCGGATATGTCGGTGCCCGCCTCGGCCCGGAACTCGGCGACCGTCGGCGTCCGTCGGCGGCGGCGCGGAATTTTGAACAACGTGTCTATGCGAAAAAGAACCTCTTATGAAGTGTAAACGTGCGGCGCGAGCCTCTCGGCGCACTGATATGTTCCCTGCTCTATGTCGCGTTACACGATTATTGACTGCGGTTCCTACGATGAGTAAATAACAAAACAATTTAAATGCTGCTAAAGAAACAGGATCAGTCAGTCTCTCATGATTACAAGAACGATTTGAATTTGAAACCAAACCATAAGACGAGCTAGTGCTGCGCGCGCGCTCACTCCGCCAGCAACTCTGCAACAACAGTAATACATATTAATACACAGCCAGATTATACATGACACAGGCATCGATCAAAATGAATGTATTGCATAAAGGTACGTCCAGGCTATAAAACATAATATGTTATTCAACATAGTAAGAATGTTCAGAGAGCACCTTCACTTGAAAGGATCGTCCAGACTATAAAATATAACATGTTATTCAACATAGTCATAGAACATGTTCAGAAAGCACCATCACTAGAGATCGCATTACTGAATTGCAGGGTTTTTAGCGTATAGTATGGCTGCACGTATGTCGTAAGCCGCACGGACTGCTTAACGGCTTCTCAGTTTCTGCTATGTGTGAGGTACATTTGCCGGTGTGCCCCTTAAGGGCGCCAGTGTCTGTAGATAGAGGTTTTGCCTGCGTTAACAAAAAAGCGGCGAAGTGCGAGTCGGACTCGCCCATGAAGGCGTAACAGCAAGAAACATAATATAAAAGTAATAAGTACTTTTATATTAGTTGTTCGTTGTAACTTAAATTTAAAAAAAAACTACTTACTAGATCTAGTTCAAACCAATTTTCGGTGGAAATTTGCAGTTCATCGTGTATTTTTTTTGTTTTATCATTCCCTTATTTTAGAAGTTACAGAGGGGGGACTCACATTTTACTACTTTGGATGTGTCTCGCGTAAACTATTTAGTTTAGAAAAAAAAATATTAGAAACCAAATATCATTTTTAAAGACCTATCCATAGATACACGTATGGGTTTGATTTGATTAAGCATCAAATTTGATTTCGGGGAACCCCAAAAATTTTTTTTGTTTTTTTATTTTTGTGTGAAAATCTTAATGCGGTTCACAGAAAACATCTACTTACTAAGTTTCAACAGTATAGTTCTTATAGTTTCGGAAAAAGTGACTTTGACATACATGTCCAGAGACAGACAGACATGACGAATCTATAAGGTTTCTGTTTTTTGTCATTTGGCTACGGAACCCTAAAAGAGGATAGGAAGGATAGGAGGAAGGAAGGTCTGTGATATAGTCTGATGATGAGGTTGAGGTTGAGGAGTGCTTGGTACCTTGTAGTGGGCGGCGCGGTCGGAAGCCGCGCGAGCCGTCCGGTCCGCGCGGCGGACGCAACACCACGACACGCGGCGCGGCATCTTCCAGCGAGGCGGTGCGCAGCCGCGCCAGCAGCCGCTCGGGCCGCTCGCCCGCCGACCGCTCGCCCGCAGCGCCACCGCCGCCACCGCCGCCCCCGCCCGCGCTACCGCGTCTAAATGCAACACGCATAAGTAATTTAAGATCAAACTTAATAAGATAAAAATATAGGCATTGTTTTTGTAACAAAGTTCAAATTGATATCTGAATAAAAATAAAACTGAGTGCATTTTTCGCCAATAAACTGTTAATCAGTTTGACGAAATTATAAAGTATAGTTCATCATCATCATCATCGACCCATGCTCGTCCACTGCTGGACATAGGTCTCCCCTAATGCACGCCACTGCTCCCGATTTTCTGCCACATTTTTCGTTTTAAAGTATATTTAACAGTGTAAAATTATATTTGATAAATAAAATATTTGTTCGAAGATTAACAGACAGACAGTTCCTTATCCGTCTTCTCATCATCATCATCATCATCATCATCAGCCTATTAATGTCCCCACTGCTGGGGCACAGGCCTTCCCTATGGATGGAATAGGGAGATAGGGCCATGACCCACCACGCGGGCCCAGTGCGGATTGGCGGGTGCTAACGACTGCAGATGCAGCCGGGACCTACGGCTTAACGTGCCTTCCGAAGCACGGAGGAGCTCGAGATAGTAAATTTTTGGTCACCCATCCAATGACCGACCACTGCGAAAGTTGCTTAACTTCAACGATCGCAGCCGAACGCGTTAACCACTTGCGCCATCGAGCTCCTCATCCGTCTTCTAAATCAGATAAATAATCCCGCTGGGAAATATTCAATCAGTGTTGACCACTTTCGTGACTTGTCGACACAAATACGAAGTGCAAAAAAAACCAAATGGCTTCGTGTACCATCGTCATATTATTTACTTATATTATGACCTTGTTTTAGCCAATCATGGCGCTGTCCCTCTGCTTCGTCTTGTCTTCTCTTTCTCTGGCTGTTGCTAGAATGCGTCAAGGACTGGGCGTACACGTACGGTTTCCTTATCCAGAATTCCTATTTCCTATTCCGTGACGCAAACGATTCGGTTTTTTATTAGTTACGAGTCCGAACCGAACGTTAGGTTATTTCCATTCCGAAAAAATCCGAATAGTGTGCGCCTCATTGAACATTTTGTATGTAAGGACATGCATCCAGGTTTCTGAGTCTAAATTCCTGATCAGGACACCCTACATGTGCAATCAGTCTAGGACTAAAAATATAAAGTTAGGCGTCTAAGGGCTGTGTAGTCGTTTGACTCACCCTACTCGCACGACGTTGCAGGCGGAGGACTTGCCGTTGCGCACGTTGGTGAGCATGACGAACTCTACCGTGTCGCCGGGCTGCAGGTCAGCCGCACCGCCGCGCACCTCCGACATGTGGAAGAATAGCCGCCGCGGCGCCTCCGCCTCCGCCTCCACCGAGAGGAAGCCGAACCCGCCTGAGAAAATGAAAACGTATTATTGATGTGTAACATCTTTCCTCTCGCTTTACTGCAATTTGTGGGAGTGATTTCGTGAAATGGGACGGAAGTGTGTAACAGGAAGTCGCAAAAGCGCGCGCTTTTTGATTTGATTTTAGAACATAATATTCAAATGGCTTATTCCTTTTGTAGTAGGTTTTATTCCTTTTTTACCCGACTGCGCAAGAGCGCGAAGCGCGACGCGCAGACAGGGTATAGTGTTTAACAGTCTATATAATTATGTATGTTTGTTCCTTTGTGGCACACTAGAGACCAAACGCCTGGACCGATTTTGATGATTCATACATCAATCGATTCGTCTCAATTATGGGAGTGCTACTAAAGATATGATAGTAATAAAAATTCAATATGGGCAAAATTAGGTGCCATTTTGTGACGAAGTAAAAAAAAAAGTTGACAAAATATGTCGAGTGGGGTATCACTGTCTAGATAATCGAAAATCATGTTGAGGTTCCTAACACCATTTTTGATTTTATATGATTGTTTAGGACCTACAACGCTTTAAAGTTGTATATTAATCACTTGCGCAATTTCAATCTTACGTTTGTATGGATCTTTGTTACTCTTTCACCTAAAAAATACTGAATGGATTTTAATGTAACTTAACTGTAATATAGCTCATATATGATAATAACATATATATATAATAATTTATGTTGTTATTGAGTGAATTGGCCAAAATATAACATTAAGTGTCACATAAGACGGAAAAAAATCTCCCATCTGCGAGCCATTTTGGCCTGCACTGCAAAAACAATAAAAGCTACATGAATGTAATGTAGAGTGAAAATGTATCTCTTAAATAGTTCTAAAAAAAAGTCCGTGACACCATATAGCCATTTTTAATGTGTAAGCCATTACCGCTAAAATAGTGAATCAAAACTAAAATATTATTTGATATCTATTTCCAAAATGTATATTTTGCATTAACAAATTAATGAATAAGTGGTAGTTTACTATAAAATTTACATTCATTAGATATTTATGTAACGACTTGATTTTACTTCACACATTTTTGCGAAAATTGAGGCCCATCTGTAGCCTTGGCCACGCTGGTAAAGTCTCTTTATGTCTTAATAAATCAATCTTTTAGACCACCGCAAGGTACTTAATAATTCCCGCGATATTAATTCCCTTACTGAAGTAACAAGACAAGACAGACAGACGAGACACAAAAGAAAAAAACAAGTCCAGTAGTCTATAATTCTGTTAATAAGGAACAAAGCTACTTTAACAGTCGGGACCCATTATTGAAAAATATTATGTATTCTTGAATATCTAATGGGTCCTGGCTGTTAAAGTAGCTTTGTTCCTTATTAACAGAATTATAGACTACTGGACTTGTTTTTTTCTTTTCAGTTTTTATTTGAAGTACAATTAAGCAGTCGGGTATTTTGATTTTTTAAATTTACCTTTTTTTTACTAATATAAGGTGAGGTTTCAAATGTTACACATCATACGCGACTACTGTAAGGCTCGCTCGTTTTTTATCATTGGCAAACCAACACACATGAAATGATACGTTCTACGAAAAATAAATTATATTTCCAACGAATTAGAAATGATATGAAAAAATAATATGTTTAATATTATCTTATCCAATGAATAGATAGCCGAATTCATTTGTAGATACATTTTGATTTGTCAAATTATTTTGTTTCGTCGATATGCGTGTCGTGTTAGTATTCAAGTTTAGTTGTATAAGTTTGGAACTATGTTTTAACGGGCCTTGTTAGGGTTGTGCTTCCATACAAATTTTAATTGGTTGGATATTTCACTATACCCTCCCACCATCATGATATTGATTTCCTACTGTTGAATTGCTCCCTTTTTGAGCCTCAAATATTTATTGGACATTGCAGGACTTATTGTGTTAACTATCAAATATTTGATTCCTTCACGTCGGGGTGACAGGTCGCCACCTGCTGCTCATGTTTAATGCACTGATAATATAGTGTGCTGACCTTTTATGGCGTCCACGGTGGCGCGGCGCTTCTTGCGCACGGGCACGATGTTGGCGGCGCGCCCCTCCACGTCGGGGTGGAAGGTGACGGGGTCGCCCACCTGCAGGATCTCGCGCTTGCACGCCAACCCCATGATGCCAAATTCGTAACCCCCCTCGTTGCAGCCCGCCACTTTGATCAGACCTATATACAATACGAGATTCTATGTCATAGATAAAATTTAATATGGAGCTAAATTATAATTGTACGCGACGACCGAAGCGAGAAGAAATAAAGTTTACGTCGAAAAGAGATTGATTTGTAAAATATGTCTATAATTTCACATGTAACGGATGTGTACATTAAAAATGTTATTTCCTTGTTGTTTTATTAGAATGAGTTGGATATCGCAATAATAGAGAGCTTCGCTCATAGTAACTGACTGTAAAATTGATAGTTCAAAGCGATTTTCTGTCTCTTTCTCACCAATAATCTTATAAGAATTTGTCTAATCGAACACCGCGACGCCAAGCGGTGGCGCAGGGAAACTGTACTAGAATATGATAGTTCGGACCGAGAGGAGGAACAGAGACGATAGGCTGTCTCTTTCTAGCAGCCTTATAAGATTTTGCCTAAGTTGATAGCCTTCGAAAATATTATGTAATTGTGTTTGAATTGGTTTGTTTTATATCTTATTAGGGAATAGGTAGATATAGGATTAAGATAACAAAGTTTTGTGTAAATCATTTTAATAGTTTAGGTTATGCCTTAAGGGAAACGTTAAATATAGTTTTTTATGAATATTTGGTAGGTTATAGGTATAATTTTAATAATAAAGCTTTTATTTTGTGTATTTTCGCTTGCTCTATAGAATGATATATAATAATTAGGCATTAAATGAAGGTAAATAGGTTTTTTAAGACTTTTAAAATTGTAAACTTTATAGGGCTATAGAGCCGTTGTTTGTTATTATTCTTATTAGAAACTTATTGTATTAGATAGATAACGCATAGGACTACATAAATAAATAGGCACCAAATCGATAAATGTAGAAATGTACCGAATATAAGGCAAAATTAGTTTGTATAGAACGATCTCCTAAAACGTTTCGCGCTCCCCTCCCGGCGCACGCAGAGCGCGTGGGTGGGGCAGCGGAGCCCTGTGGCAGGGCCATGGACTTATAAAAAAAGGCGGACAGAGTCCCGGTAAATAATAAACTGTGTCGCTCAGAGTCGGCCAGGTAGCTGTACGTACAAGCCGGCACGCACACATTCACACAATAGTCAGCCACTACGCGTGCAAACGTCAAAGCAGCTGACACGTTACGTGGAGATAAAAAATAAGCTAAACAAGATATCTTGCTTGTAAAAAGGTGTAAAAACCGTAGTGACCGAAAGAAAAAAAATCCAGGAATCACGTTTCATAGGTAAATGAATAATTGAATCACTTTTTTCTAGTTTTTAGAAATCGAAATCAATTTTAATTCTAAGGACAAAATGATTAGTCTAAAGCCCAGTGTTGCCAATGTTCATGTAACCATATTACCTAAAATATGGGAAATTCGGTTGACATTAACTTCAATCTATTATTTATTGTCAGATTTCCTAAAGAAAATGTAGTATGGAGAAATTACTGGAAAATGAATGATTTCCAAACAAATATGTAGTAGTGTCATTTTTAGTCTTCATTTTGAAGCTCAAGACTTACATACAACTAAAGGAGGACTCCGGCGTGTTATTACGTATACATTACCTCAAAAGGTTGATTAAAATTTTTAACCGACTTCGAAATGAAAGAGCTTCGCAATGCGTCAGATTTGTTTTTTTTTATTGTTGTTCGCGCAGATCTCCGAGATTCGTGGACCGTTTATGATGATTCTTTTTTTGTTTTAATCAGTTTACTAGCGAGATGGCTGCATATTAATTTACTGGAGATCTGATGAGTACTTTCGGAGGAAAACAATGGAACTCCTCAATTACAAACAGTACTCAATGGGTGTTAGTTTATTTTAAGAAATATGAAAGAGAATGCAGGCCAGGCCATCTATATTTAGTTGATTTACCCAATATTGAGAAAATTGGATACATTCTAGAATTTCTAATGAGTCCCGACTGTTAAAGTAACTTTGTTCCTTATTAAACAGAATTCTAGACTACTGGACTTGTTCTTTTTCTTTTTAGTACATTTTTTTTATTTTCTACATTTTAATTTCATTATTTTTTAATTACACGAGTTGTATATTTTCTAAATATTCTTTAAAAACCCTTCACTTTGATACCTCGCTTGACGGGTTATAAAAATACTTATACTTTTATTTCAAAATGGTTCATTTTGGCGCATAAAATCTGTTATTTTGATTTTTTGAAATTTTAATATACCGAGTGCCACTCACACAATCACGACAAATCAAATGACACCTCGCATGTAAAAATCCGTCAAGACGTTCAGGCTGTAGGGCGTGCCAAATTATTGGACATGCATACATACGCTCGAAAAACATTATCCTCCGCAGTCGGGCAAAAAGTAAAATTTTGAACAATCAAAATATTTTCATGTTTTTACTGTGTTTTATTGGTAAAAAATTGGCTAACCTAGCAACCCTACAATTCACTCACTCATCAATAGCCGCCGCCATTACGGTGCCTCAGTCTTGTCTTAGGCGAAACTCTGTCCGCCTTTTTTTATACGTCCATGGGTAGGGCGAAGCCCTATGGAGGGTGAAAATATAAATATCGCGGAGACCTATTTTTTGCGCGCCACACCTAAAATATCATGCTTACGGACGCGTAACTGCGCTAAAATATGCCTATTTGTATGCCTAATGTATGTACGTATAGTTTTAAGCTCGCACCTATGTATTTTTTGAATAAATGAAAAATAAAGTATAGCGGGGGTGAGGTAATGGATCGCTGGCCAGCTCAGTCCTAGCATATAAAATTCAAGTCGGAACAGGCTCCGACATGCATTCAGCGACAGGCGCTCCTACCCTAAGGAACAGGAAGAAACAAGCGGTTCACTCTGGACCTGAAGCCTCCTCTCACCGGCCATCCATTATCAGCGCCCACCGATTTCTTCAATACCGAACACCAGGGGTTTTATTCACCGAAGCTACAGTCCACTATCGCCGTCAAGACTCCTGCGTGTAATTTCCTCCACCCCGCAGTACGAGTCGGTAACTGTCCGCTACTGCGACAGCCCGGCGTCCCGTACAATAATAATTTATTTGCATCATAAATATTTTTACATACGTGAGGTTGCCATTCAATTATCACTAAAAGGAGCTCAAGTTGTTGGAACACTAGCTACCTTACTAAGTTGACAAGACAACTTGTATTAAGGGAGCTAGGCTCAAAAAACATTAAAAGTGAAGTTTGAGTTAAATAAATCTAAGGAGAAAACAAAACTAATTGTTGAATGCATGTAGGTGTGTGTGTGTTTGAGTGAATGTGTATGTATGTTGTGTGTACGTGAATGTGCGTGCGTGCGGAAGTGTGTGTGTGAGATCAAAAGTGGAGGGAAAGAATTATGTCAAAAATAAAAATATACCCAATGGAATTAGGATCTAAAAGGCTAATAGATATTTAATAAGTTTTCTGTGTCATTATAATTTAAGGAGAGAAGCCAGTTTTTTAATTTCTTTTTCAGTGGCAGAATGGGCAATGAATAGAAATCAAGTACTTTGTTAAGTTTATTGTAGAGATGCGGTTCTTGAAAACAGGGTAATCTTTTGGTTACGGAGTATTTGCATTGAGAAGGTTTGCACACTTTGTTTTTGCATCGTCTTGTGGTGATTTTTTTATAATGTGTTTTCTAATGTTGAAATTCCACAACATTTAGCACCAAAAATGTCTAACCGCGAAGACTTGGCAGGTATTGAATAAAAATTCTCTTGGAAATAAAAAGGGGCGAAAGGTACTGACTTTTAATACAGCTCTCTGAGCGCGTTCTAATTTTAAAATAGCTGTTTTAGGAACTCCACCTATACAGTAAGTTATATGAGACTGACAGAGAGCAAGGTAAGTACATCTAATAGGTAATTTGACCGTCTGCTACGTAGCGAAAAGTTTTAAATTATATGAAGAAAACGTCAGCTAACAAAGTCATTAAAGGAACTCTCCGTTTAAAAGTGCATAACGGGATGAAAGACAGTATGCAACTTTGTTATTAAAGAATATTTGAAAAATCAATAAAATTTTAAAATTTTGGGAATAGCGACGTTTGGCGAGATATAGAAACTTTTCAGAAAAAAGTTAAACCGCCGAAAAAACTGAAAAGCAGAAAATAATAAACCTTTTGAAGTGAAAACTTCTTTAGTGTCGTTGTGACTTGAGATTCAATGAAACAGAAATAGAGTATTTGACACAAGATAGGTATCCGTAATCATATTTTATTTTTCGATACAATTTAAGTATAGAATATTTAATTTTGCCAAGTATTTTACAGTACCTAGTCATAAAGGTTTATCAAGCATTACAGTTAATTTTCGAACCTCTTTTTTCTCTTCCATAAGGAGCTGACACGACCTGTCAGAAACGCAATCTCTGAGCGGCCGGACTATATTCGGGTCAGTTCACTCACTCTACTACTACTAAACTAAACAAAACACACACTCTGTTTTAGCCTTCTATTGAACGGCATCGTTACGCGAACCCTGTCGTACGGTCGGGGTTGAGCGCGCCCGCAGGGTTCGCGTAACGATGCCGTTCAATAGAAGGCTTTAAACAGAGTGTGCGTGTGTGTATTGTTTAGTAGTAGTAGAGTGAATGAACGGACCCGAGTAGAGCGGTTGGTCGGGGTGGAGCGCGCGCAGGGTTCAGGTCATGATGCCGTTCAATAGGAGAAGGCTAAAACAGAGTGTGCGTGTGTGTATTGTTTAGTAGTAGTAGAGTACAGGTCAGTTAACTAAAGCTGGCGCGTTCAACACATTTACACGTTGCGCTTGTGTAGTGTCTGTGAATAAGCGCGCGACGTGACGTCGCACTGCATGCGCAACTTGAAAAATCTGCCCGTCTCTCTCTCTCGCGCGGACTATCTTATGAGTGAAAAGGAGATAATTATTGTTTTGCTTTTGCTACTGTTTATAAATACAGCGTGGTCTTTAATTGATAAAATCTTTCAACGTGCGATTTTATTGCGCCTACCATCCTACCATCCAGAACTCAACCCAATAGAGTTACTGTGGGGTATAATTAAAGGAAAAGTTGCATCAGAAAATGTTAAGTTTAGCTTGAAAACTGTGGAAGAATTATTTAGAAAAGAAGCAGATTTAATTACTCTTGATATGTTTAGTGACGTTTGGAGAACGTCACGAAAAGACGCGAGAACATGAGAAAAAATATATTGAAATTTAACCAAAACTGGATGACTGACTGACACTGACTCATTTATAATACACTAAGAAATTCAGACGGCGAAATATCAAGTTCTTCGCGCAATGAAAGTTTGAGTGGGGTAGAAAATTTAATTTACGATTCTGATTAATAGCCATATTGTAATAATCATAATATATTATAACAAGTAACACATATATTTTTTATTTATTTATCCACATCGCACCCAATCTTAAAACTAACTTTAGTCTACACTTAGAACAGAATCGCAGTTTGAAACAAAATCATTTATTTTTAATCATACTGTATAGTGAAATTGCATCAGGTGAGTACTGTGAACGTGCCAGCTTTAGTTAACTGACCTGTAAGTGAACGGACCCGAGTAGTGCGGTTGGTCGGGGTTGAGCGCGCGCAGGGTTCGCGTAACGATTCCGTTCAATAGAAGGCTTAAACAGAGTGTGCGTGTGTGTATTGTTTAGTAGTAGTAGAGTGAGTCGACGGACCCGAGTAGTGCGGTTGGTCGAGGTGGAGCGCGCGCAGGGTTCAGGTCATGATGCCGTTCAATAGGAGAAGGCTAAAACAGAGTGTGCGTTTGTGTTTTGTTTAGTAGTAATAGAGAGAGTGAACGGACCCGAATAGTGCGTATGGTTCTGGTTGTGCGCGCGCAGGGTTCGCTTAACGATACCTTTCAATAGAAGGCTAAAACAGTGTGCGTGTGTTTTGTTCAGTAGTAGTAGAGTAAGTGAACTGACCCGAGTAGTGCGGTTGGTCGGGGTTGAGCGCGCGCAATGTCCGTGTCACGATGCCGTGCATCATCTTCTTCTGGTGCGGCGGCAGAGGCACAGTGCCACGCGGCAGAGGTCGCACCCACTCCGCACTAGCGCAGCCGCCTCCACCACTACCGCCGTTGCCGCCCCCGCCGCCGCCGCACCGACCCACCACGTACTCCACCTCCGACCCCAGCTCCAGCGAGTCCGCGTTGCCCTCCAGGTTACTGCGTGACAAACACACAACGTTATGTTTGTTTACTTGACAAACTTCGCGTTTCACGTACTTGTTTGTCAAACGCATCAAACATATTGTGCGACAAGAATTTCTATGAATGTAGCGAAGATTGGAACTATCGTGACTTCGTCGTCTTTGTAAACGTCATATTATTATGTTATTTACGAATTTTACTCATTTACGTAGACAGTCGCGCCCTCCCTGAACTGTCACACATTCATAAAGATCCTTGTCGCACTGTAGCCTTAAACTAACTTAGCCTTAAATTTGACAATTCAATTTTATCATTTACAGGGCTCTTTAGGTTGTGATTCAGTCTTAATGGCGGCTGTGAAGTAAACGTAAGTTGCGGCGCATTAAACGAAATGTAGGGTGATGGTGCGCGCGTGTTGTCACTCAAATGAAACCTGCGCAACCCACTCTACATAACACAATGCAATACACCAGTACCCTTAGGACGAACCATTATAGACTTCGAATAGTTGAATTCGGTCTAGGTATACGTGAAATGTGTACCGAATAGCATAAGTTACGTCCGTTGTGGTTCTGCTGTTCAAGTTTCCATACAAAATTTGGCAATGATATTTCACACCCGCAAACGTAACTAATTTGACATTGGTTCGAGCTAAGGGTACAGATTGCACCACAATACACCAGACGATCAAAGCAAACGCATAGTTAAAGGGTTCCGTTTAAATGAGGCTAATAATAAAAATGCAGACATCAAAAAAGTCTAAACAACACGCATCATTTACAGAAACTGCATGTTTTATTAATTAATATTTATTAATTTGTTTTGTCAAAGTACATTGATTTAAACATAAAGTAAATAAACTTAATAAATCTTCGGTTCTCGTCCCCACATTTGTTATGTAGTAATTGTATTCCTATAAAAATAATTTGAAATTTTGTGATATGATAATATTGCTGTCGTCATTTTGATTATTTTAGATTGCCACAATTTCAAGACAGGACATTAGTATACTTATTTTTAAATTAAATATTTTTTATTTGTATTGTGCGGTATATTTATATTATTGTTTGCTTATTGATTTCACTTCAATAATAATGAAGATTATGCAGAATAATGTTCGATGCCTTGTTTTGTAATGCATGCGGTGGTGACCTTTAATTAAGATAGAATCTAAATATCGCCGATGCTTGTATCTTGTATTGGTGTATATCTTGTTGGTCGTCCTTAAATAAATAAATAAAAAAAAATACAATCTTTTTTGGTCTCGGCAGCATAATTGGCTGATTTTGAAAATAGACACTACGACTGTGTTTAAAATAATATAGTATAAATATGCCAGGTATAAGGGGAACGATTCTGAAAAAAAAGACGGGTAGTGTTACTGATTCTGGATAAGATACCATTAAAAATATAACTTTTATTATTATTTTAACTTTCTTTATATCAAAATGTTGTAAAATTAATTTACCCCAACGGGTTTATCAAAAACTAGTGGCCCACCCTCGCTTCGCTTCGGTGTAGACTATTGTTTTTGTTCTCAGGCTTGTATTTATACATCCTTCCGTGAAGAAATGTCTAACTAATAATGAACATTTTGTTGCGTAGTTTAGGACTCGTCGTACCGAATGCACAATTGCTTTGCTGTTAAAAGTTTGTCCACCTTACCATTGGTCTATGTCCCTATTATTAAACGTATCTGGTGACGCAGTGTTATGTAACATTTTATCACTCATGATTATTACACTATTGATAACTTTCGAATATTATGATACAAAAAGTAATGTACACGTTCTGATATTGTCCTAAATCATCACCAGCCTATTAAAGTCCCCACAGGCCTTCCCCCCTATGGATGGAATAGGGAGATGAAAATTTTGTTTCGTAATTTAGGACCCGTTGTACCGAATGTACCATTGCTCTGCTGTATATAAAGTTTGTCACTATTACCATTGGTCCATGCACCCTAATCTATACAAATAAACAAACAATCAAATCTTTCCTCTTTTTCTATTAGTAAAGATAATAATTATTTATTGTTTTTCTAACAACACGCACTGTAATTAATCTATACTAATATTATAGAGGTAAAGTTAGTAAATTGTGAGTTTACGACGTATAGTAATCTCTGAATCTACTGAACCGATTTTGAAAATTATTTTACCAATAGAGAGCCACGTTATTTACGAGTGTGTATATTAACCCGAAAAATTAATCGACTTTTTCGTTGTAGTAGGATTTTCAAAGTCGGAGAAAAAACGCTTGAATGAAGACGTTTCTTACGAACGCTTGTAGAGCTTTATTATAATGCCTACAAAAAGGCGAGCGACAGCATATGACCAAGTTTTAAATTTTTTAAGACCCAAATATATTTTTTATACTAAGAAAACAATTTCAATCGTTAGGTCATGTTCATTGGTCATACTTACTAACAATTATGAATTCTTATCAAAATAAGTAAAGGACATAGGGCAAAAATGCATGGATGCTGCACCCACGTCCGCCACGGCTTAAACTACATTTATTTGAAAGGTATAATAGTAATGATCATCTGTGCCAAAGCGCAGCAAATTCCATCCCGGGGGTCTTTAGTTATTTGAAGTTAAATAGGTACAAACACTATAACGAACATTAATGAAACAAGGGAAGTAATTTAGTTAGTTAATTCGTACCTACATAGAGGGCTCAGGTATTATAGGAGTATGTACTTACAAGGTGCAAGGTTATTCTGCCGCGCTAGAGTAAATCCCAGGAACCCCGCATTGGTTGGGGATTTTTCAAACAATCTGTTACAGTAAATTGTCTTCTATGTAAAACGAAGCGACAACAAATTACACGGACTTGTCCACGCTTCGGAGAAAACATGATTCCAGTTCATCCATGCTAATTGATAAAACCGATAATCGTGTTCCTATGTCCAAAGCATGTTAGATAAAAATCAATCAAGTTACATGGAACGACAATCACGACGAAGCCGAAGTAAGACAAGTCGACTATTTGCAACTGCAAGTCCTTCAACCCCCGTAAACCGTTTTGTGGTGGCTCAGTAAGTGCAAGCGCAGGATGGTCGGCAGGCTTTGTCGTATATCTGGTTGTATAGTACGATATGGCATATTATTGGCTAATTGGTGTGTGTTGGAAATATTTATTATTATGGTTAGTAATAATATAAATTGAAGGTACTACAAAATGAATTTATTTAGTTACTTAAATATGCTTAAATATGTGTCATATCTTTTGACTACCAGGATATTTTTTTACGGTGTCATAATAAAAAAGGCTAGTTTTTCATAAATCTATCGATTCATACTAATTACATTGTTGGCGGAGCTGGGTGTGTTTTGCCCATTGTCCTTTATAGTTTCAAGTGCTTTTAACAAAAGAACAATACATTTTCCCTTTTACTAGATATAATTTTGTCGGATGGTTGAGAATGCTGAGGTGTGGTCAAATGTATTACATGAAACAAGAGTTTATCTCTCTAACCTCAAAATAAATGGTTGACCTGTTTTGCAGCACCGTCGCAAGACACCATGTCTCGGTTTGATTATTGATACTTACAGCTTTGCTCAGCTTGCCATGGATTTACTGGATAAAGGCATTGTTAAGTATTTTCTTAGTTACAAATGTTCTCAAGATAATTTAGAAATGTTCTTTTCTTGCTTGAGAACATCTGGAGGACATAATAATAACCCAACTGCATTGCACGTAAAATACGCATTAAGAAAACTTCTGTTTCGAAATAGCGTAACTTCTAGTGTAAACGCAACGTGTTTTGATGCAGATTTTGAAACGACGCCCGTATTAGAATTTAGCTGTAAAAAGAACTATTTAAACTAGACTTGCAACGAATAGTATATTCGGCAGTATAACGAATACCGAATATTCGGCGAGGCCCCTGACCCAATAGCCGAATATTAGGCAAAAGTATTCGGCTGAATTATAGCGCCAAAAACTTGTACAGACGTGATTGTTTCGCGCTCCTTTGTTTTGTTCTAATCTGCCGTCCACAAGCTAAAATGCAGCTAAATGACAAAACCAACTTTTGAGATATGGCCAAAAACGGCGCGGAAACTTTAAAGTATTGCTATTATGTAACCATTCATCACATGACTGAATGAATTAAAAACTGTTAATTTGTTTAATACAGAAAATGACTAAATGTACCTGTTTTATGTACATACCAATGACTACTTAATAAATGATTATAAAAGAAATGAGAACCTTACCCTTCTAAATTTTGATTACCACAATAATTCAAATACATAGAATCCTCCATTTTTCCAATTCAGAAGATGATTATGTACCAGTGTTATGTACCAATGACTACTTAAATGATCATATAACAGAAATGAAAATATGAATATATACGTAATCAATCGATTTAAATTTTTCATTTTACCAATTATTTCTCTATGACAAAATATATTATTTAAGTATTCGGTATTCGGCCGAATATAATAAAGGCAGCCGAATAGGCCGAATACCGAATAGTAACCGAATATTCGTTGCGAGTCTAATTTAAATAATCCAGATTTCATACCCGAACAAAATGAGAGCGAGCAAATAGATTGGCTTCTTGCACTCATTAAAGACACTAATCTTACTGAATATAAAAATAATGTGTTATATTATATATGTGGGTTTATAGCAAAAAAAAAATGTTTGGAAAAATTTTCCTGTGAACACTGCAAAGCGATACTAATAAGCAATGAATATAAGATTAATAAAGAGCATGGTTATGCTATTGACTTTAATCAATATTCTGCATTTTAACGAAAAAGTTACTAATTTTAACAGTACAGGAAGACTTTGAAAACTAATTAATGTCATTCTGATTCATATTTTGGATGGATGGATTGATACAATCATGAAAATAGGTTTGCTGGAGTTTGATAATGTAACTTCAGTTGCTAATTAGAACTCTCATTTAGTTACTAACTAGATTAGTAATAAGTTTTGTTTCAGCGACATTCAATGGAGGAGCAATGAATTTCAATCTAAAATGACAGTTCATG